TTTTAGACACTGCCCAGATCAAACCCAGGCTTAGTGGGTAGACAGATGAGAATGCGCCGGTCGGAGAAGATGAAAGGCGACCTGGGGAAGCGAGACTCGAGGGGAATGACGCATGAGCATTGACCTGTGCGGGAAACGAAAGACGTGTTAGTCAATTGATGGATCGTGTGGGGGAAGGGTTCATGAATTGTACGAATATCTTACCGATGAGGATCTCAAAGAGACTCGTTTTCAGACGTTAAAAAGTCCGACATGAGGGGGGGGGAGATGTGGGCGTTTTTAGAGAGTTTATTTTTTTTCTCAGTGAGCAACACGAGGTCGAAAGATTAAAAAAGTTGTTAGTAGACTGTCATTTTTCTGGCTAGTGGGGACCTCTCCGTTCGTAACGATGTAATGGGCGATCATAGCTAACTGGTTTAGGTCAACTGTCCATCCGCACACAGGGGAGACGCACCTACAGCCGAGATCTTCTTCCATCTAATCTTGACTTACTTAGTGAATTCATTCAGACACGCACTGATATACTCCCACCACGAGATTGTCATCGAATCCGGAAAGGAGCACGGACCAGATACGGCTATCTGTAGTTTACCAGCGACAGTCTCTGTATCGTATTTTACACAGGGACCCTTCTAGAACCACTCGGGCCTGTCATCCTCAATATAGCGTCAGTTTGAATAGGGTATAGGGACAAACAGGAACTCTTCGGGGCGTACTCAATGCCAGTCACCAAATCTCGGGATTAAGATGCTTGAGATGCTTGAGATGCTTGAGATGCTTGAGATGCTTGAGATGCTTGAGATGCTTGAGATCAGTCATGACTGATCCCATACAACGCTGTACTCGAATGATGTCATTGTGGTACTGTGATGGACTCACGGTGTTGACCAACTTCTTTGATTCAGAGGATGGATTGCTTTGGAGTGTCATCTGCGTGGACAGAAGACAGTTCGGTTTCCCACTGTTGATCGTGCTTGGTCATGATATTACATGCCTGACACATCAGGTATTCAGGCAATCCGGCTGTCGGTCTCGATCAAGTAGTGTAAGTCTGAGCACATTAGAATAGAATATTTATAAACAAATTTGATAGTGATGTATTTTTATATCAAATTTCCCACTAGATAAATATAACATTTATATATCTAGATCATAGGTCGTGGTAGTATCAATCCAATGGTACATGAACAACCATGTTTCAACTCTACTGCTGGCCCGCTTACCATCCGTTTCCTCTCCCTTTTTTAGGCCTCCGCTTCCAACCCCGCGCTCCCCAACGGTCATTCCACTGCATTGACACTGACAGCCCTGATCACCATCACAGGGATTTCTTCCTGGTTCCTTTCGATACATTTTATTGATCCCATTGTTGCGGTGCAGTGGATCATATCCAATAGACATCCGATTTCACTGCAGATTACACTAGTCGTGCATTCCAATCAGGCGGACACTGCAGTATAATCTACCTATCATCCCACCACTAGATTTCTACTACCACCACCACCACCTCGCTAGTACCTGACCCAACCTACTACCCAACTTTGTCTTTTCTTTTCCGAATCTAGTCTCCCTGACTGGTCTATCACTCGTCCTAATTACTCTTCCATGCTGCTGTCTGTGGATCAAGCACCTTTCCCTATTCGATCACCCACTGTCTCCGGTGGTAGACTCAGACAAGATGTCGATCAAGTATGTGAATCACCCCTCCTTACCCAACACCGAACGTTTCTTATCTATTGCTGTATACGGGCCTGGCTCTCTCCACTGTCGCCACTGTCTCCCATTTGGTGATGTTTGGATTGTGGTTGGGTCAGATCGCACGATTCTTCCCTATTCCGCCCCCTTGTTCGGATTGATATCGGGTTTTCCGTGTCCTTCAAACACATGCCTTGATACCCCTCTACAATCCATTCATGTCACTCAGTTCCGAGTTCTTTCTCTCACTCTGGATTCAAACATCCGAAGTGAAATAAAACTACCCAGAGTCTAATTATCTCCCACAGTTGGGTGATGCTGCAAGAGCGTGACGGCTTCGTCCGCCTTCCCAGAGAACAATCCGTATATGCATCTCCCCCGCGGACAAGCATCTCCCTGCAACAGCTCGGGTCGAGCTCCGGAAAGGATGCCTTCTCCCTCCAAAGCAGCAGTGGTCAGATCTACCTAACGAATCAGCGGGTAAGTGGTCTCCTGTGACATCTCTTTCCCACGCGCTCGACTCAACTCTGACGACTGCCCAGGTGGTCTACATCCCCGCCCAGAAGTCGGATGAATTCCAATCATTCTCGGCCCCGCTTCTCAACGTCCGCGACAGCCATGTTACGGCCCCGTTCTTTGGCCCCAATGCCTGGGTGGCTCTGGTCCAGCCCGTCTCGGGCGGCGGGATCCCCCCCGGGCTGCCCGCCATCCAGGTCAAAGTCACCTTCAAAGAAGGCGGGGCGTTTGACTTTCACAACCGCTTCGAAAGAATCAAAGAGCGTCTGGAGCAGGCGGTCGAAGTGTCGCGAGAGAGTGCGCGCGGCTCCACCAACGTGGACATGTCCACCGTCCATCTGGAAGAGCTCCCCGCTTACTCTGCGCCAGCCGGCGAGGCAACGGGCGCGAGAGCACCAGCGTATGATGCACCCCCGTCGACCTCGCAGCATACCCGGGTAGCTTCCGAAACGGGGCCGGAGTTCATGGAGCCGCCGCCGGGCTACGAGGAGGTGCAACAGCAGAGTGTGGCTAACGAGCTGGAGGAGCGATTACGCCGTACCACTTGAGGATGGGATCTTGGATGAATGCATTGCTGAGGATCTATCCTGTTTCTGGATTTCTTAATCCTTTTCCTTCTCTTTTTTTTTTTCCTTTTTTTCTTTCCATTTTCCTAATTTTGTTTCTTCATTTGTGCCTGTCACTCCAAGCAAGCCTGTTGGTAAAAAATCCAAATCTGTACAGTATTAATCGATTTAACAACAATTTATTGACTACCATACCAAGTTCTATATCAATTGTATATACATAAGTCTATAAAAAAAAAATAGAAAATAAAAATAAAAAGTATGAGAACGAACCACATTGCCGCATTAGTAAAGACCCCTTCCGAAGCGCCAGCCAATCACGTGTCCGACAATTGAGCATTCGCCCGGCGGCCGGGGTGTTCCGATTTTCCCAGCTTCGTCAAAACCGCTAACTTGCACCCTCAAAACCAACCTCATCCAACTTGTTGGCCTGTTGAACCCTCCCCACCGCCACCACCACTCTCGGTACCTAATCAACCCACCCTCCAGTCAATCCAATTGATCTTCCCACACGGCTCACAATGGGTTTCACCGACTTTTTCTCCGACGTGATCTCGTCGTTCAGCCTCCCCGAGGCCCAGGCTGAGGCGCCGCCCGCCGACACCGTCCAGGAGACTCCCCAGGCGGAGGACCCCAAGGCGGAGCACGCTGAGAGCGTGGAGGCCGAGGAGGAGGCCCCCGCTGAGGAGGCTGAGGAGGAGGAGGCTGAGGAAGAGGAGGAAGAGGAGGAGGAGGAGGAAGAGGAGGAGGAGCCTGAGGATATCAAGCCTCAGCTTGAGGAGGGTGAGTTTTGCCTTCTTTTCCCTACTACCGCAGTGACGCTTGGCTCTTGCATTCAATTGCCAATTGGTGTCATTCCACGGTTTGAGGGGGTGAGTTGTTCAATGGCTAATGTGAGGAACAGAATGCGCCAACTCCGCTCACTGTGCGCCCGCTAAGCACCACTACGACGAGTGCGTCGAGCGTGTAACCCAGCAGCAGGAGGATGAGGACTACAAGGGCCCCAAGGAGGACTGCGTTGAGGAGTGTGAGTATTCCCAGTTATGACAATCATTTCATTCTTCGCCATGCACAGCGGCCTCTATGTGTACAGGTGTACTAAGATCATGATAGTCTTCCACCTCGCCCACTGCGCGACCCAGTGCGCCGCCCCCAAGCTGTGGCGCACCCTGAAATAAACGAATCCATATCCTCGACGGGCCTGATTCCACCTCCACTTCCCAATATGATAGTTCCCCACCATGAAGCCAATGACAAACCGGATCGAATGACAGAAAATATAAGCCTGTTGGTGGATCAAGTACGCAGTACAAGTATACAAATAAGCGACAGTGGAGAGAACGGAGGCACGGAGGCACTCGAGTCACGAGATAGAATGAAGGAGAGAGGAGGGGAATAGGCATAGCATGTTGACATTGTCTTGTGGTGCCATTTTCTTTCCTCTCTTTTTCTCTTTTCTTTTCCTTTTTGTACGTTTCGTGCGTTGTGTTCGAAGAAAGAGGGAGATGTGGAGATGTGGAGAGGTGTGTGGTGATAGAATGAATGGGTGCACCATTCCATGATGTGTATTGTACAGATATCTAGTTGGGTTTGTCTTTGAACTGTGCTAATTTCTTTTTTATTATCTTTTTTGTTCCTTCTTATCTGTGGTTTAGAAATGGATGTTTGATCTAGATTCTGATCCGACTATATCTGATCTATCTCCTAATGTTGCTATATACCTTCTCAAGGCTTGGTCAGTGAGTATTACACAGTACATGGTCAACCAGAACTCAGTCAGCACTCAACCTGCTCAAAATACCAGCTCAGTGATCAACTACCTCATCTGAACTACCAACATAAACACTGAGCTAGGTACCTACCTACTCGCCCTCTTTATTTGCGCACGTATAGTATATACATTGGGTAGTTAGCTATAGCACCATACTCACCACCCCAATCTAGAAACTTCATCCATACTGAATCACGCAAGTCAAGATCCGATAGGAGTGGAGTTTCACTTGGAGGATTCCATGAGTATGAGCGTCTTTCCTCCATTGTGAATGCTCCATATTCCATGAAACTTGCCTTGCCGTGTGAGGGTAACTGGCACGAGTGTAGAAGGGTACCTTATGTATATAGGTATTTATGTTTATATCCTCACACATCAGGTCAAGGCAAGAAGCGAAGGAGGTAGTGAATAATTGCAACAGCCCAAAATCTATAATGCTATTAAATATCAGTAATACAGTAGAAAGCAAGTATTATTTACATGATATAAGAAATATGGTATCATAAAGGGCCAATCAGTCAATCATCTCAACCCATAAAAGAAAAGTCGGACCAATCTTCAAACCGGAACCAGTCGAAAGAAAGCCAGCCAAAAAGAAAGTAAAAAGAATAATAAATAAAAAAAAGGTCGAAAGAAGAAAAATTCTATCAAGGCAGCTCACTCGGCCTCGTATCCTCATGCAACTCAAACCTCTTCGCAGCATTGTTACTCTCCAACTCACTCGGCCCCTCATACCCTGGATACGTCTTCACAGGCGCCTCGGCAACACCGCCCGTCGGGATCGGTTCGAACCCGGGGGGCGCGTTGGTGTTGCTGCTGTCGGGCTGCATGTCGTTCTGGCGACGACGGCGGCGGAGCATGAAGAGGATGGCTGCTATGATTAGGACGACGCCGGCCACGCCGCCGACGACGCCGCCTGCGATGGCGCCTGTGTTGTTGGGGGGCTCCTCTGGAGCTTTGGGGTTGGGAGTTGGGGGTGTGGGGTCATCCGGCTTGGGGGGTGATGTTGGGGATGGGCCTGGTGATGGGGAGATTAGGGCTGTAGTAGTCATGTTAGCACCTTCTTATCCCACCTGCCTGATACTATACTGTATCACCTAGCGAATCATCGCCGAGACCAGTACCAAGGTAAAAAGGTAAAGTACTGTAGAGTTCAAAAAAAAAAAAAAAAAGGGAACTCACTCTGCTCAACAGGACTAAGCAACGTCCTCAAATTCGACCCGGGATCCCCATCCGCACACCCAACAGAGCCATTATGGTTCTTCTCGGACGTCCAAAACCCAGACTGGTCCTCGAGGCAGCAGAACTTGCCGTCGTTGTCGAACATCGTCCACGACTCGTTCGCGCAGTGCGGTTTGGGATCGATGAAATTCGCGCAGTTGGACTTTCCGGGGCAGCAGAACGAGTTCGGCGCCCCGTTTTCGTACTTGAAGCAGTGGGAGGTGTCGGGGCAGCACGAGACGAAGCCGCCCCAGGTTCCGTAGCATGGGTCTGTGCCGGCGGGACAGGAGTCTTTGGCGCGGAGGGCGAAGCCCGCGTTGGGGGGGTCGTAGTCGAGCATTTTTTATTCTTTATTTTTATTCTTTTTCTTCCTGATGTCTTGGCTGGCTGGCTGGTTGGCTGGTTGGTTGATAGATGTATATCTGGTGAGGACCAACCGGTGGTTGCGGTGTATGCCTACAACTGGAAAGGACAATATGAAGTGAGAGATGCGACAGACGAAATGGAGAGAAAGGAAAACGAGGGAAATAACACCCTAGGCAAAGGTCAGCTAAGTTTGTTAGCAGCAAGGCTGAGTCGCTGTTGATCTTAACCTATTTCAAAGGATCCTATTCAAAACGCAGGGGGATAGTCAGGCGTCCAGCACTAACTAATCAATACTAAGTGTCGTCCTGCCGACCCGATCATGGTCGGTCCTAACTAATTAATAGTTATCCTAATCGTCCGATTGATTCTGAACATGCTTTGCATACATACATACATACCCATTCGGGAATATGGTATGTTGACGGTAAATAATGGCAGTCCCTATCAAGGATTGATGCGGGGTGCCAGGGCGCCTAGTGGAGCAGATAAATGAGATGGGGCTTGAGGCTTGCGGTGGTCGGACTATTAATTTTATATTCTAGTTACCAGTCTTCACAAATCAACTGACCACTGGATATTGGGAGACAAAATCTAATCTTGATATTGAGTTCTGTGAAATACGAGTTAAAAATATCCATACCGCTCCTGACAGACAACTCATTGTTAGAGCCGAGCTAGAGCCATCTAGGGCTGATAGCCTTTCGTCACCCTATGCCTCCCTATTCAGCGCACCATCTCTTAACGTAGTTAGGCACTTTATATATATTGGTGATTACTCTATTTCAGCCTCTAGCTTGATTTATATTTTCATATAACTATCTCTGAATATGCTGTCCCGTCTTGCGGTGTGGAATAGCCTGCGCTTCTAAGGGGTTGTTGATTCTGCTACAGTTAGATTCCGTTAGCTGCACGCTAGTATGGAACTAATACTAGAGTATACCAGAGTGGATTTTACGGGCACGTGCTGTACCCCTTACCAACAACAGCACCGGCTGCGGGGTGCATAGTCGATGGGGTTCAAGTATTGGAGTTGTTGTTTGATTCCGTACATATGTGTGTATTTGTGTAGTGGGGGTGGATAATAGGTATGTACATCAATCATACGCGTGTCGACATATACGGTCCATCATAAGACGAACTCGAAAATAAACATCAGAAAAAGAAACAGCAAAAACATACAATTAATGGGTATGAAAGTCGCATGGCACGGGCATTAAAGAGAATGAGAAAGAGAATCAAGTCTTCGTCCAGAGATCGAGACGCGACTTCGACTCCGTCGGGGCCGTCGTCTGGGGCGCCGAGTCAGCCTCGCCGAGCTCGGTATCATCATCAATAGCGGTGCCAAAGTCGACGTCCAAGCGGCGACGGCGGACATTCCTACCGAACAGGCCAATGCAGATGGGGAACGGAGCAGCGACGGTGGCGATAACGGCGGAGAAGATGAGAGCGTTGCGCATGTGGCCCGGGGGGTTGGCGCCAGGGCTGGCCTTGAGAGCGTCTTGGATAAGGATGAAAATAGCCCCGAGGAGCTGGCCGCCGGTCCAGCAGATGGTGCTGCCGATCTCCGGGGAGAAAGGGTAGGTGATCTCGACGAGGTATTCGAGGGCGACGGGGAGGAGGCCAAAGGAGGCGGCGCCGAGGAGGGCGCAGACGATGTAGCTGGGGGCGATGCCGGCGGGGCTGGACGGCGCGAAGATGAACCCGATGTAGGTGGCAGCGATGATGGGGACCAGCGTGCGGATGGTGAACAGATAGTGTTTCCAGCGGTCGGTGATCGGGGAGAGGATGGCTGAGCTGATCAGTCCGACGACGATGAGGATGCCGCCGGCGATGCCGGCGTCGGTTTCGCTGAAGCCGTGCGGTTCGAGGATCTGGTTTAGTAGCGACGACACGCTGTTGAAGAACCCCACGTATACGGCGAAGGGGATCAGGAGAAGCCAGAACTCGAGCGTCTTGAGGAGCTGCGTCACCGCAGGGAGGAGCGGGGTCTTGGCTGTCGAGGCGGATGCGCTGGGTGGGGTGGGCGGTTTGGATGGGAGGAAGAACGAGGGGATCGCTGCGACGGTGGCCTGTTGGCTTCTTGTTAGGAAGACGGTTTTGTTCTCTTGAGGGGGTCATGAGCTTACCATGACCGAGAGCCAGAGCACCATGTCCGGCACCTCACTAGGCTTGGTCGCCCAGAACGAGTTGATCAGTTGGCCCAGCGCCGCGCCCAGTGGATTGGCGAGGGTCGCAAGGGCCGTCGCGCTGGTGCGACCCTTATTGGAGAACCAGATGTCGCTGTAGTGGGTGGGGGCGCTCAGGCAGAAGGGTTGCGACAGCCCGATGAGAATCTGACCGAACATGGCGACGCCAAAGATGCCGCCGCGGGCGCGCGTGCCGGCATATCGGATCCAGTTGCCCGCAAGCAGGAGCGTGGAGGTGATGATGATGGCGGGCTTGGGGCCGCCCTTGTTGAGCGTGAAGATGACGACGCTGATCGGTGAGTGAGTAGACTTCTCTGACAGCATGACGGCGATGATACTCACGGACTCGCGACACAAAAGGCAAAGAGATAGCCCGTGCTCATCCAGTTGACGGCACTCTCCGAGACGCCGAAATGTTCGGCGGCGGTCGTGGAGATGGCCGAGAAGGTCAACCACTGCAGACAACCATCAATTTCGCGTCACGTACACATTCCGTGACAGAGAGGGTACATACATCCCAGCTCACGACAATATTCAACAGGACCAGCTGAGCGAGCCCCAAGAACCGCCGCTTGTAGACCCTATAGACCGGCCCCGTGGGTGGTAGATCCGGGGCGGGGTCTTCAGCACTCCGGGGCGATGAACGGAAGAAGACCATGATGTGGGACCGACACGAGCATGGAGCACTCACGACAGGCGGCCCAGCGTGGAATTACAGAGGATCGAGTCAGGATAGAAATAATCAACAGAGACGGTTAATCAGGGAGATATAATGACTGTCTGGTTCCTGTTAGCGACCGAATTAGCGGCATCGCTTGGGCTCCTCTGTCCGCGAATGAGCCCCCGTCGAGGCTTGGATAGGAGATTGAAGAGACCGGGAATTGGTTCGCGCATTCAATTACTGGGGGGGATAAGAAACTAGAACCGAAGGGGCCATGGACCTAATAAGCTAGTGAGTATCCTGGCAAGAATCCTGGCGCCTGTAACGGGGAAATTCTCCAGTAAGATGGGGAACGATGGCCGAGGCAAAGACCATAAGTAATGAAGAGAAGAAGAGGGGGAGGATGATCAGCTGTGGGGATCCAGGTCCCCTCCACTGTCACCTTCCTCCACCTGGATACTACAGTCTGAAGATTCTTTCATCATGAATGTGGAGAGAGGGGAGCAGTGCCAACCATGGGAAAGTCGAAGCTGATCGGACGGGACTTACCGGCAGGACTCGAACCATGTGAAAGCTGCAGTGGAACATTGTACAACCTGGAAAAAGATACCATGAAAAGACAAGGATACATCGAATATATCCTACATGAAACAATCAGACTGATAAAATAAGATATAGAAATATTAAAATATAAAAATAAGAAATAAAAAATGACCAGACTGGGGCTCGAACCCAGGACCTTGTGCGTGTTAAGCAAACGATATGACCAACTAATCCATCCGGCCTGTTTGACGTCATATGATTCCTGAATGTACTTGTAGTCATTGTAATCGCTGTAACCATCAATACGAATTAATTTAATGGATTGAACCAACAACGAATTGAGAAACCGGAACAGTCAAATGGATCAGATCAGATCCTGTAATTTCATTTAGATGAAGATTGTAAAGAATCAGGAGGAATGGCCAATTGACAGCCAATCAACCCTCTTCTATCTGTCTCTATCCGTCTCGAGATTAATGATCTGACAGACTCTTCTAATATATATAGATCGATGGGTGAATACGGAGTGAAGATAATATAGATTGATAGATGATCAGTAGAATTTAGTAGATGGATAGAAGATATACATATCAAGCATTCCCTCGACTGAGTTCTCCATTCTGCAGTCCCTGTCAGGCTGTCATGCATGTCATTCCTCTCCATGGCCCACTGTGGGAATCTGGTATCCAGGGATGACTTCAAACATCCCGGCATCTGTCATCCTGCATTCTGTCAATTCTTCTCTCGATTCTTTCTTTCTCGGAGACTACTCCACGGTCATCACCGCTGTCTGTCCACATGCGACCGTTGGGAAAATAGGTGGTTGGTTCTTAAACAGGGTCTCAATCCTGATAGATCCAACCACGCCTTGCAGGTCACTAGATCTATCATGGACCTTTCGGAGAAATCTCATCAGATGGCAATCCAGAGGGAAAGAAATTAGTCAATCTCCCCAAAAGACACCCACAGAGAGAGAGAGAGAGAAGCAGAGAGAGAGAGAACAGCGTCATGGTTACTGAGGTTCGTGATGGGGCGGCCGACTCAGCCATTCGCAGATCTTCTCGTGATCCTCATTTCCCTTCACTCTTAGTCTCTCTCTCTCTCTCTCTTCTTTCTTTCCCCTTCTTCCTCCTCTCCATCCCCCGTTCTTTTCTCCACTCCTCCTCTTTGTTCACTCGTTGGTTCAAATCCACTCTCCAGTTCTTTCTCTTGGATAAAGTCGACTTTCTCTCCATCGACTCTCTTGACTCTCCTCAACTACACAGACGATTACCCCGTCTCTCCCTCACTCAGCTCACTCCTTACTTGGCGGCTCGCTTCCCACCCGATCCGGTTCATGGTAAACACAGAATGATGGATACTGTCTCCGCCCGGCTTTGATCGTTTCCTCGCCCCTGACTCGAGTCATTCGCTTCCTGTCGATTGGGTTTTTTTTATCGCGACCGTTCTCTTTTTTTCGAATTATCGTCCCTCTTCCTCATCCCTCATACCCTCCTGAGTCCTCACCATGAACGGGTTCGACTTCCGAACCAGCCAGTCCTCCTATGGCGACCCCCGCCATTATTCTGCGACCTCCGTGGGCCCTCCGCAGCCGCCCCCGTCCAAGGTCCTTCTCGATGGCTACCAAAACAACGTCGATGGGCTTCAGGGGGAATCGCCGCGATATAACCCGGTAAGTTGTCCCCACGATCGTCCCCACGATCGTCCCCCGCAAGTCGCTAACCGGGACCAGTTGAATCCGACACACCCGCGCAGTTCCGCCCTCCTGAACGCCAACGATCCCGTCACCATGTACTTACTCACCGAGACCGCCATGGGCGACAGTGCCCACTACGAGATCCTGTCCCTCGAGGAGGTCGAGTCGCTGAAGAAAGAGCACAAGTTCCTCGCCGGTCGCATGGACGGCGCTAAGCGGAAGTTGGCGCTGGAGATGAAACTGCGCGATGCCGCCTCCTCCCTCAACCGGCTATACGGCGCCAAGAGTCCCAGGGGCAGTGAGGAGTACGCCGCGGGGGGTTCGCCCAAGTCCCATCGTCGGAGTGGGAGCATCTTTGGCCGCACTCCTGGCTCCCAGGACAAGGCGGACGAGGAGCTGGCGGTGAGCTCGCGTAAATGCGACGAGCTGGCCCACGAGATCTGGAGCGTCGAGGGCCGCGTCGCAACCATCCACCGCCGCTTGCTCGAGCACACCGCCGGTGTGCTGCAGCTGACTCACAAGGGCTTGAAGAAGAACCCCAAGAACAACATCCCCCACACCCCGGAGAGCCTCTCGAGCCACAACACCCAGGGCAGCGTGGACGAGTTCGATGACCGCAGCCTGTACCGCCCCTTTGACCCCGGCGACGAGTTCGGCTATGCGAGGCGGGCGCCACCCGTCCCCGCGGACCCCAGCACGCCCAGCGCGCCCAGCGCGCTCGGCCTGGACGCTGTGCAGAGCATGGAGCGACGGCTCGAGGAGCTCAGCGCGCGGATGCGCGATCAGGTCTCCCGGTCCAACCCGGACAGTGAGTTTCACGCGGCCCCCCTCCCCGCGGACCGGGGCAGCCCAACGGATCCAACCGCCGGTCTAGAGGCCCATCTGGCCTACATCACCAGCGCACTCGGGATGATCCATGCCCACCCGCCCCCAGACGCCACGCCGACCCGGGGCGGGGACGACGGACCGTCCGTCGCCCACCTCGGGGACCTCAACGCGCGCATCTTCGACATTGTGGCTCAGTCCGGCCTGCCGCATTCCCAGACCCTTCCCCCGCCGCCGGAGGCGGCCGACGGCGGCGTGTCGGAGCAACTGGCCTACCTGGGGACTGGACTGGACGGGCTCCAGCGCCGCATCGAGGGGCTTCTGGACCAGAAGAGCATCCTGACCACCCAGATCCAGCAACAGCGCGAGCTCAACTCCAAGTCCGACGCCGAGCGAGACGCCCATATCGGCGACCTGGTCGAGCAGCTGGCGCACGTCCGCAAGGACCTTGAGGGCACGGAACGCGACCACCAGCGGTCCCAAGACGAGATGGGTCTGGTCGTGGGCCAGCTGGAGGCTGTCCGCCGCGAGCTGTCCGACCACCAACAACGCAGCGTGCCCGCCGAGGATGCCGGCGCTCTGTCCGCCGAGAAGGACGCCCGTGCGCACGCCGAAGCGGAACTGGTCCGCCTGCAAGCCATCGTGCAGGAGCTGGAGCGCGACCGCGCGGCCCAGGCCGAGGCCCACGAGGCCCGTCTGCGCGCCGAGAGCGAGGTGGCTCGTCTGGAGTCGGATCTGGAGGCGCTTCGATCCCAGCCGACCAGCGACCCCGAGGAGATGGCCGCGGTGCGCGCGCACGCCGACGGCGAGATTCAGCGCCTGCAAGGCGTCATCGACCAGCTCCACAGCGAGGCCGATGCCCGGGCGGAAGAAGCCGCCGAGGCGCGCGAGCGCTCGGAGCAGCAGATGGCGGAACTCGAAGCCGCCATGCAGCAGATCCGCTCCGAATCGGACGCCCGCGTCCGCGAGTCGATGGAGATGCGCGCCCAAGCCGAGGGCGAAGTCGCGCAACTGCAGGCCTCCATGGAACAACTCCGGTCGGACATCCAATCTCAGCTCCAAGAAGCCACCGACGGCCGCACCCGCGCCGAGGCGGACGCCACCCACCTGCAGACCGAACTGACGCAGATGGAGGGTGAGGTCGCCCGCCTCCAGACGGAGCTGACCATGGCCAAGGCGGAGCTGGACGGGGCGTATGGTTCCCGGTCCGAGCGGGCCGCGGCGGCGGCCAACTCGGGGATCCAGGAGGAGATCGACGCGCTGAACACCCGCAATCTGGAGCTCATGGAAGAGCTCGCGGGCCTGAAGGCCGGGAAACCGGGCGGCGGTACCTCCGACCGACGGGTGCAGATGCTGGAGAAGGAGCTTCGCGAGACCGTCGACGACTACGAAAGCATGACCAAGGCCAGTATTGAGTTCGAGAAGGAGCGCGAGCGGTTCGAAGGGGTCATCGATTCCCTCCGGGACCGCTGCGAGCAGCTGGAGACCCAGATCAACGAGGAACGGATCCAGTGGATGGGCATCCACCACGCGCCCATGTCGCGCGACGGGACCACGTCGGAGACCACCTCGACCATGGTGCTCAAGAACGAATTCAAGAAGATGATGCGCGATACTCGGATTGAGAACATGAGGATCCTCAAGGTGAGTTCCAACAAGTACCAGATATTTCCCTCCAGTCATACTGATCCCCGTTTAGGCCGAACAGGAAGAACGCCGCAGGCTTGAAAATCTGATCCGATCTTTGAAGAAAGAGCAGGCCAACGCGGCCGCGGCTGCGAGCCAACCCACCACCCCGGGCGTAGCGACATGAACATCATGATATCCCCTTTTCCGTTCTCGTTACATGCTGTTACCCTTCTCGGTTACCCCATTGTTGATTTTCTTCTATGATATCCATTCTCCGTACATATTAATGCCTGATTGTCACATGCTCTATGTTTCTACCATCTGTTTTACCATTTGATTCCCCCTCTCGGTTGCTGATTGATTGGGTGTATATAAGCTTTAGATGATTTCGTATTATAATACTTTGCTTCGTTGATCTCTGATGGTCATTTGAGTTGCCCCTTTGTCCTGCTTATAATGCGAGTTCTGCGCCTTCCGATTGTAGTCATTCCCTTACACTAGGAAAGTGCGATGCACTGGCACACTCCCCATCATGGTTGGAGATTGACATCAAGTTATACCGTGAGTGCCCCGAAGGTATCCCATCTCACGGTCCTACCACGCCCCTCTGAACCCGAGTGGCAGACCTGTTATGGTCTCAACCCTTGGCAGCATGTCCTCATGTCAGTCCACGCCACCGCCATCAGAATCCAACGAAAACATCATAGTTTTCGAAAGCCATCGCGCCAGCGAAGATGCCAACCCAGACACCAACCAGGGGTACTCCCTGTCGTGCCCCACCGACGAGACCTCTATCTACAATGCCGCGCGAACCAATTCCGCCATTGAAGGCCATCCCCGCCATTCAGAGTTCAGCAGCACAGTGAAAAGCAGCCTGGACGCCCGAGAAGCCGCCAACATGGCGATGTTCCTGTCTCGCACGTCGGATCCCGCGTCCCATCTAGCCCAACACGGTTCTGACCCTGGTGGTGCGGCGCAGAAGAGCAAAGACCGCTGGTGGCAATCGATGTTCTGGTCGGATAACCACGCGCCATGCTCGACGGACAGTGAGAAAGACGAAGAAGAGGTCTCGTTGCCGGATGAGTCGTCGCGCACGACCCTTCGCCAACACCTGAAAGCCACCAGTCTCGATGATACTGTGTCCACTGCTCGGATGTCGAAGTGGCCGGGGGATTTTGGGTCTCCTGTGAGCCCGGCGCAGCCTAAGTATCCGCCGCCGGTGAGGCCTGCTACGCCGCCGGGACTGCCCTCGTTTGGGACGCCGGAGGCGATGTGTTTTGCGACGCAGTATGCTGTTCGCTCCGCCCCGTCGCATAGACAGACTCAAAGGGGGGATCCGCCCTCCGCGAACAGGCGTCGCAGGCGCGCTGCTTCCTATGGGGAATGGTTGCGCAGGCTGTTTGGCTCCGCTGCAGCTGTGCAGACCCGGCCGAACTTGCAGCTGTCTCGGCTTGCTAGAGCGGAGGACGGCACGATAGTCCAGGGTCGCTTTCCATACCGGAATAGTGGTCACGGGACGCACATGGGAGGTAGAGGGTTGGAGAGCCATCCGTTCCATCGGGGGACGCTTCCCGTCGCGGAGTGCAGTCTCATCAATGGCGCCGTTGATAGTGGTGCCCAGAACACATCCCTCACCCGAGATGGTCACGGCGCGAGGCAGCGAGGCGGCATCTTGCTGGACTGGCGGAACCAATATCTCAACCGTGAAGCAGGTGTTGACTCCCCAGCGCCGAAAGGTGCACTCGCTGCGCTCCTCCGCCATGTAGCGGCGACGACGGGCCCAGCAAGCCGGCCCTCAGTCCGCACTACCTGTCCACCCCTCTCACACTATCACTCCTGCTCCTCCCAACCCATCACAGCCCAGCCCCGCGCATCCAGAGCAGTCCTAGGCTACACCATCGACCCCCCAACAAGCTGCTCACTAATAACAACCCGATCTCCCCCAGACCAACACGCAGACACCACCATCTGGCACCACTCCAAACAGCTAATCAACACCTACCTCTGCTGCTCCTGCGGCTCCGCCCCCGAGCAGGAAACACTCTTCTACCCGTCCAACGAGACCTACATGACCGCCCACGGCTGCATTTCAAATGTCAGTAGCGTCGAGAACGCCCATGGGAACGCTAATGTGGGCAATGATACAGTGCGTGCAGGAGGTGCAGGAGGTGCAGGAGGTGCAGGAGGTGCAGGAGGTGCAGGAGGTGCAGGAGGTGCAGGAGGTGCAGGAGGTGTCGGTGGACGCTGGTGGGGGTTGGGGGATGCATGGAGGTCGTTTCGAGGGTTTGCGGCGAGAAATGTGCTAGTCGTTGATGGTGTGATTGCTTAGGTGTTAGTGGGTTGTTTACTGGGTTGGATGCATCTTGGACTGACTCTGTACACACTCTCTACCAATGTGTCTTGTTTGGGGTGGGCTGGGTATTCCTCCTTTCCTCTCTTTTTGTTCCTTTCCCTCTCTCTATATCTCTCTTTCGTCTTTCTGTTTGAGAAAAAAAGAAAGCAGCTCATACCTAGCTTGATTGATTTTTTGGTCTTGGAGAACGGCATGCATGCGTTGTAATGCCGGTATATACATTACTGTCTCACTTTTTGTCCTTGTTCTTATCGTTTTGGTCCATATTTTATATAGAACTATGCTGTTATTGCTATCCAGTCTTGATTGATTCACTAGTTGGTAGTTGGAAAGGTCGAGTGTTATTCTTTTTTTCTTCTTTGTTTCCTATCGGATATAGATTAGTAGGTAGGTATGTAATCTCGCTCATAGCAATATTCCTACTTTCAAACTTTTATAGTTTGGGTCCGAGGAGTAGTGGCCATGTACATAAAAAGTTGATATAAGAAGATACTTAGTTAACAACTAGAATGTATTGGTTCTGAATACCACGATTGGGCAATGGATTTGTGGATTGGATAGAGTAGAATGAATGAGGAAATTTAATAGTTGGTAATAAATAACATATCAATTAAGGACCAATTAATGGATATATATAGCCAATGAATAGATACTAGATGAAAATCATCATCCCCCAGCTAACAAAGGTGAATAAATAATAAATAGATAGATAGATAGATAGATGAATAATAAAATAGGTAGATAAATAAATGAAATAGGTAGATGGAGAAACGAAAAAAGAAACGAAAGAAGAAAGAAAGAAGAAAGAAGAAGACAATTCCGCTATGAGAAATCGAAACCCTATGCTTGTTTATTTATTGACAGACCGACTGATTTATTGTCCATTCATTCGCTCACATGCAAATCAATATTGACAGAGAAGGAAGAAAGAAAGGATTAAAGGAAGAAGATTAAGTTTGTTCATCAGGGTCTACCTTTGGATTGGATCATCTTGATGGAGGTTTGTCTGTCCATATATGGTGATGATCTTGTAGAGGTAGGGTAGGTAGAGGGAAGAATAGATATAGGTAGGTAGGTAGGTAGGTAGGTAGGTAGAGTCGACAGTATGCGTCAACCGCAAGTGAGGTAGGTAACTATAACCCCTTAAAGAACTGACACGCCTCTTCAATCTCGTTATCCCCCGCGACAAAGTCCCACCCGATGATGCGCGGGTCCTGGCTGGCGCAGATGATCTTGCGCGCGTCGAACTGGAGCTTGAAGATGCGGGATGTCGGCTGCGTCGGGGGACCAGTGGCGGGTCGGTGTGGACGGGGCGGTGCGTGCTGCTGGGGTTGGAGATGCGGGTTCGGAGCGGCGGGGACGGCTGGGGCGGGGATGCTGGCGACTGCAGGATGGAGTGTCGGTGTGGAGGCGCCAGCTTGCACTGCTCGCTGCGCCTGAGCGCGAGCCTGGGCCCGGGCCTGGGCCTGGGCCTGAGCCTGCTGGGCGAAGGCGTTGCCGCGGACCGGACCGTGAGCCGCGCCCAGGTGCGTATTGGCAATGTTGTCGGCGGCGTCGGCTTGGCGCAGGCGCTGGCCGACGACCCAGTGGCCCTCGTTGTCCTTCTTCCAGATAATGATGGACTCGTCGTACGAGCCCGAAACGATGCGCCCCCACTTGCTGCCGCCCCCGCCGGGAGGGATCGTGGCACCCAGGGCTTTGATGTCGCGTGGGTTGCGGGACCCGGCCGTGTTCTGCGTGTGACCCGCCCGCCGGAGGGCTCCGGGGCCGAGGTCCACCGGCGCGCCGGCACGGTGGGCGTCCCAGAACTGGTTGTCGACGGCCAGAGCCTCCAGTCGCATGGCCTCCTCGGCGCCCGGGGGGTCCCCAAACCCGGCCTGGACGGTCCGGACCAGGTTGAGGTGGCCTCGGAGACAGGCGACCTCGGCGCCCGAGACGTGGTCGAAGATGCGCACGGAGTCATCGTTGCTGCCGCTGATGATGCGCCGGTTGTCGAACTGCACGCAGGCGATGCCCTTCTCGTGGCCGACCAGGGTCTTCTTGCAAGCGCCGCTGCGGAGGCTCCAGATCTTGATCAGCCGATCGCCCGACGCGGAGACGATCTCGTCGTCACTGATCTGGATGGCGTTGACGGCCGCCCCGTGTCCCTCTAGGGTCATGAGGAGAGCGTACGGCGCCAAGGTCTGGATGTGGTCCCGGGCCATCTGCGCCTCCAGGATGGGCGACGGGATCTCGCTCGTGTCGACGATGTAGGACGGGTAGGTGACGCCGGAACTCCGACAGGCCACTGGATAATCCGGGTCCGTCGGTGCGAGGGTGCGTCGGTTCCACACCTTGATCAGCTTGTCCTTGGAGCAGGTGACGAGAAACCGGTCATCGAACCGGAGGTTCAAGACCGAGTCATTGTGCGCCCGCTCGATCTCGTGGATCTTCTGGCCGGTGGAGAAGCGCCAGATGATGACATTCTTGTCACTGCTGCCGGAGATGATGACGTCCTGCTGCGGCCGGGCGTCAAATTGGAGGCAGAGCACCGATTTCGTGTGGCCGACCAGAGGCCGGTAGAATAACCTTTTGGTGTTCAGGTCCCAGACTCGCACGGTCCGATCACGGCTTCCACTGACCAGCCACCTGCCGGAGAATTGGATCGCGTAAACGCATTCTTGGTGGGCTTCGTCCATGTGCGCGGGGTGCGGCAGTTGGAAATTCGTAAAGCGACCTTTGTTCCAATTCTCTTCCAGGCGCCTCCGTTGACGGTAAAGATGGGGCCAGTTGATCTTGGTGAGACTGTTGAAACGAAGGAGGAGATTGGATGTTGGCGACGTGGACCTGTCCGTCATGGGCCGCATAATCTCAGACTGCGAATCGCGACTGCTGCTGCTGCTGCTGCTGCTGCTACTGCTGCCGGTGCGTCCTAGGGACTGGTCTTCCGCCGAGCTTGGGAAACTGCGGTCGATCAACGCGTCGCTCATGTGATAGTCCCCCTCTGTATCTGCTTCCGCCGTCGCGTGCGGTCCATTGTCTTGGAGCGACGCGTCGGTGCTCCGTGAATCCAGCCAGCTCGGGGGCACCCGCTTCTTCTGCTTCGGTTCTTCCGAATCCGTGTCGGTATGTCGTGGGCGCGATTTGCGGGACTGGGGTGACGGAAGCCCCGAGTGGGCCTGCTCGAACGAGTGGATTTTATCGATATTGACGCGCCATCCTTCTCCGATGTACAAGTCCCTCCACAGGCGGGAATCAAAGATCCGACCGCGCCACGCGCGAGAGGCCAACGACGCGGTGAGAAGGGTATGCGGGTCGAGGTAGGAGAAGATCTCGGAGGTGATCTCCGGGGGGAGCTTGAAGACGGGGTCCATGTGTAGTAAGGGGGCCAGGCGATCGACGACTGCTGCCACAGTGGAGGTGCGTACGGTTCGTAGGAGATTATACGCGAGCTCTACAATTAAAGAAAACACGATGATCCGTCAGCATCATACACCACCAAAACGCCGTGGCCAGCACACGAGCGGCGCTGGCAACGGTTCGCCGACTCACCGGCTCGTTCTTCCTCGCTGTTTGCGAGAAGCCAACCAGGTACGGTCATCCCATCGTTTGTGGGCGGGGGGAAGAGTTCTTTGTCGGGCAGACTCTTGGTTTCGTCGGAGTAGCCCTCGTCCAAGCGGAAGGGCGTGGACGATGGCCGGGAAGCGGGGAGATCGGAAGGGGTATGGTTGGAGCCCTGAGGCTGCAAGAGGCGAGGGAAGGAAGGGTCTGGGGCTGTAGACTCCCTCGCCATGAATCTTCGCTGGGTGGTCTCCACTGACCGGTGAGGAGGGTCGTAAGTAGTTTGAGAGTCCCTTGATCCTCCTATCTTTAGAAGTCGGATCGACGGGATTTGAACGTTATCGAACGGGCCAAGTATCGACACAAGAAGCCAGACGAAGGGAGCCCCGCTAGACCTCGCAGTTCTCTGACCGGGAGAGAGTGGGCCCTCAAACGACGTCGAAAGAGACAGGAGGTTGGGGAGTATTATTGCGGGACCCACATACGGAAGTCCAAACAAAGGACCTAATACTTCATACACTCATTAAGGGTGGGGTCGATTCAGCGGATGGGGAGACGGGAAAGTCCGGAAGGTGGGCGAAAGGGAAGAAGAAGCAATTTTCAGGAGGAAGGATTGTGGGGACAATGAGAGAGAGAGAGAGAGAGATGGAGAGAAGAGAGAAGAGAGAAGAGAGAGAAGAGTAAGAGAGGAAGCCAGAGTTGGATGGATGAGGTTCTTCCTCCAAGGCTAATCCCGTTTGGGTAGGTCGATATCCCAGCCCTGTGACCAGTATCTGTCATGACTTGAACCAACAACTTCAACCATCTGGCTGCTTTACTGACATGGATTGGATGATCCACATTACTATAAATATGCCAAGCTGACATGACATGGCTAACCTTCATGCTTCTCGCGTTGTCCACCTTTCATCCGCAGATCGACTGGCTAGTGATGTCCCTGCGCGAACACCCAACTCTTCCAGAGAGCTCCGTCAGACATCATCCACATTGACCTTTGGCATGGTCTCAACAGAAGGGATTCGAAAAGGTTCGTCTCTTAGATGGTTAGTTTCTTTCTGCCCATCCGGGTTCTACTTCCGATCCCGTGAGGGGGGTTCAAGAACCGATAATAGCGATCGCTCCACGCAAGGAGCTGGTTGATTTGGCCTGTCTTCTTGAGGGATTCTACATCACCGTGGATAGGGCGCTGCTCCATGCTACCCGATGCATGCAATGCCACTTTCGACAGTGCCCAAGGTTTAGGTCGAAGGAGCATCTTGCAGAATCAAAGATGGGACGTTGTATTATCGCCCAGACGCCACCCAGATGGATATGGTCCCGCTGATGAGTCTTTTTCTTCTTTCTTCTTTTCTTTAATTATTTTTGGATTTGCGGGGATTGATTCAACCGTTGACCGGTTGTTTGCACGCGATACGAATCAAGTAAGAGAAAATGGACAAGGAAAAGGCGAAAGGAACAAAGAAACAATCCCCTCTTCACCATCATGTCGGTCTTCTCCTATCAGTCAGTACCTAAGCGCTACGCAGATGCGACAGGGAAGACCCTAGAAGTCCAGGATGCAAAGAGATGGCTTAAGGAGTGAAAGGAAAGGAAAGCAAGGTATATGGTGGTTCCAAGGATGATGAGGCACTATAGTTGACATAATAGGAGTTGGTTGAAGGATCGATCAGTTGAAGGGTTGAAAAGAAGAAGAAGACAACCGGTCTAGGATCAATACACTCCGTCTGATTACCAAATGCCTGTTCAATTGAGATACAGCCATAACCCATCCGGACCAGGAATGCCGTTTCTTCCTTGAATTCCTCTCGACGTGGAGTTGGGATCATGATGAAACATGAGGCTGCCACATGCGGCATGGGAGAGCGACGATCTATATATCCATCCAGTTTCAATCGTCAGGTCAACCCGCGCCCCCACCATCGACACCAAACGTCTTAAGTTCTTCCCCTCGGCGCAACGCTCGGGTCGGACTAGGTCATGAGCTAGTCGGACTTTCCAAACGCTTGGTGTTTGAGAATGCGAACGTTCTTTTCAGTCTTGAGTCTCCATGGCTAATGGCAGTGGTGGTCCTCATGCAGACCTCCACCCCGTTTCGGCCTTGGTTCTGTTAGGTTCTCTAATCCCTACTTAGTGGATGGTGGGGGGGATTATTCCCTGATGTGCCGCATGCACCTTTGAGATCGAAACCGCATTACAGGAAAGACAGGCGAAAAAGCAAAAAAAAGAAAAAAAGAAAAAGAAGAAGAAGAAATGGAACAAATGATCAAGGGAAATGAGTGATGCAGCCGATCCCTGCCGAAACCTTGAAGAAATTGATCATGAGGAACTGCCGGGTTTTTCTTCCCTGTCTCCCTCCATTTGGATGTGACCGTCGGATGAACATCTCTGACCTTAGCACCTCCTTATCCACGGACGGGACGACTCCCCGATATTGTATATTGGAACCTGGTCGATCAGGATGATCTTTGGGTTGGACACTGGAGGATGGAAGACCAGAGTCCCCTGATATTGAGGACTGAACACGGCCACCATCTTGAGTTCTGTCTGGTCTTAATTGAGATCTTTCATCTTGAGGCATAAGTCATCATATTTTATTTATTCCATTTGACATATTTGTTATATTCTGTTCTTTTTATAACCGACTATTGGATCTCTCCCCTTACCGGCCGGAATCCTGTCGACACGGTGGGTTTTAGTGCAGCGAACCCCCACATCTGCTGGATCCTTTCTGTTCTCGACAGTATGGTTTGAGGTAAGGGTCGGGACTTCTGGTATTTGGAATCACCAGAAAATATAGATAAATACATCAGAGAATATAAACTAATGTATCAAATAAAACAAGGAAAGGAGGGAGAAAGGAAGAGGGAAAGAAGGGTGATTTAGATCCAACGGCCGAATCGGCGTAACGATACCGTACGGGTATTTCTGCCTTATCGACCTTCATCCCAGCCCATTCATTCATTCTTCATTCTTCTTCTTCATCTTCTTCTCTCGCTCTCTCTCTCTCTCTCTTCCCCTTTATATATATCGTCAGATTCCATACTTTATCCACTAGTTGGATCTTTTTCTACTTATCTCGCCCTCGATCCTTTCAGTACACATAGTCGAATCGGACTAACCCGGTCTAGTCCCTCCAAATCCGAACCCGTACCAACTTCTTTCCCTTCCCTTTCTCCACTCCCTTTCTTTAGCCGCTCGCTTGCGCTATCCCCATCCCGCATTGATCCACCGCGCGGGCTCTCCCTCTCAACCTCACCTTTCAATCCTGATCCATGCTACATCGCTTTCCTACCTCAACCCTCACTGCTCTGTCGTCTTCGTTTCCTTTCGATCTGCTGCGCGGATTCCTTTGGACGATCCTCTCCTGATACTTCCTTTCCCCGACTCGCCCCTCCTCCGTGTACCTGCTGGATTGGTCTCCCCATCTTCTTCTCCCCCCCCCCCCCCCCCCCCCCCCCTCTCCCTCCTCCTCCCTCCCGCACGGTCCCTATCAACGGGCAATCGAGATGGTCGAGACCCCAGCCATGACTGGCGGTCCCATCGCCGAGGACAATATCATCAACCGTCGTGGCGGTGAGTCGATCTATCAGAGCTGCGTCAACCTCAAGAAGCGACTGGCCGAGCTCCCGTCTTTCCGACCCCACCTGGAGGAACGAGAACGGATCGATCAAGAGCAGGGGAACACCGACCCGGTCGCGTCGCTATGGAATCTACTCCGCGAGGGTTTTCCTCTCTTGACCATCTTCAATTCCTCCGACCCTGAGGAGTTCCTGGAGGTCGACCCGGCCAAGGTCCCCGAGGCCAAGCGCCCCAAGGCCGCCACCTTCAAGTTCCTGCAGGCTTCCCTGCAGGAGCTAGCCTTCCCCCAGCCGGATTGCTTTCTCATTACCGATCTGTACGGGGAGAGTACCACCGGGTTCATTAAAGCGATCAAGATGGTCAACAAGGTCATGGATATCCTCGAGATGCAGGGCAAGCTCCAACGTCCGTCCGAGGACCCTGCCGCCACGCCCGCCCAGGGCGCCGTTAAACTCACCAAGCGAGAGCATATCCTCAAGGAGTTGCTAGAGACCGAGCGCGACTACGTTCACCACCTGCAGAATCTCCAGGCGCTGAAGAAGGAATTGGAGGAGACCGGCGCGCTGACCGGGGACGCCAGCCATCAAATCTTCTTGAACCTCAACAACCTGCTCGACTTCGCCCAACGCTTCCTGATCCGTATCGAGCAACACTACGCCCTCCCTGAAGACCGACAGAACTGGGGCGCGCTATTCATGCAGCACGAAGACGCCTTGCGACAATATGAGCCCTTCATCGCCAACCAGATGCGTTGCGACGCCGCCTGCCAGCAGGAATGGGATAAGATTCGCATGGCCCCGCGTTCCTTGGATCTCCAACAGATGGTCGCTCAGCCCGCCACCCTCAATAGTTTCTTCGTCAAGCCCTTTCAACGGCTGACCAAGTACCCCTTGATGCTATCGGTGAGGACACTCCCCTTTCCCCCTCTATCGCCGTGCGCGCCCGCGCTAACGGGTGCATTAGGAACTGCGCAAACAGCTCGAAGACCCCGACCTCCAGAACGACATCACGGGAGCGATCGACGCCATCCAGGTCGTGCTCGACTCGGCCAACGATGCCATCGACAAGGAACACCTCGCCACCGCATTCACCGAGCTGGACGAACGGGTGGACGATTGGAAGTCGTTGAAGATTGATTCGTTCGGGGCGTTGCTTCGCTATGGCACCTATTCGGTCGTGAAGGGGGACAATGGCAAGGATTCGGAGCGCGAGGTGGGTCTTCCCCCCGGGAATCTCATGGACCTGTGTCCGGGGACCGTCGAGTCGTTCTCCCTGCTGACTCTCTGGGCTCTCCGCAGTATCATATCTACCTCTTCGAACGGATTCTCCTCTGCTGCAAAGACATCAACCCCAACAAACAAAAGGCCAAATTGACGATCAGCAAAGACAAACCGGCGGGCCCGATCAAAGGCAAACCCCGCCTCCAGCTCAAAGGACGCATCTATATGGCGAACGTGACCGACATCCTCTGCTCCCAAAAGCCTGGTAAGCCGCCCCCTCCCCGCCTTTTCCACACCACCTGTCCTCCGGATTTCTAACCAACTCGCGGTGGTAGGCTCCTATCGGATTCAGATCTTCTGGAAGGGCGATCCGGGCGTCGTGGACAACTTCGTCATCCGCTACCAGAACGAGGATACCATGAGCAAGTGGTACAAGGACATCGACAACCAACGCCAGATCCAGGTGGAGCATCGCAGCACGCGCAGCACCGGAACCTCGGAGACCGAGTTCACCTACATGAAGAGCATGACGAATATCCCCAACCCCTACCAACAGGAGTATGACGCCGAGGAGTCGGCCACCAAGGAAGCCGGGTTCTTCTCGGAATTCCCCATGAGCCGCAACGCCTCCAGCACGAGCCTCCGGACCCGGTCCGCCACCGGGGGTAGCGGCGGCGCCGCCGGTCCCGCCATGTCAGTCAATCGTCCGCCCCGCGGGTACCCTGTACCGGACCCGAACCTCGCGGTCCACACCCAATTCCCGGGGAGCGGCGGGATGTCGCCGATCGAGAAGAATGCCAACTCGTACTTCTCCCCCGTCGCCGAAACGCCGTCCACGCGGTCCAGCTCCCAGTCCACCGCGTTCAGCTACAGTCGCCAGGGAACCCCGTCCAACGGCTGGACGGACGAACACAACCGATACACGGCCCCCGCCCTCTCCCGGGGGATGTCCCGGGATGGGTCGGCCCCGACTCATTACGTGAACGGGGTGCCGAACGGGCGGAGCACCCAGCGCCCGTCGCTGCCCCCCATGCCCGGGGCGGGGCAGACCGCCAACGGCATGGCGCAGCAGCGCATGCGGTCGGCCAGCAGCCCGGACATCCACAACCACGCCCACAACCCGGAGTCCCGCCGGTACATGGGGGCACACACGATGCAGACGGTGGACAACGTGCCCGTGCCGCCGATCCCGGCCCACATGGCCAGCATGAAGGCACCCGTCAACCGGAGTCAGAACAGCTCGCCCACCAACGTCCACCTCCCCGTCCGCGGGGGCCCGCCGGCCCCGGCCACCCATTTCCACGAGCCGCAGTACGCGGACAATCGCCCTGTGGGCCCAGCGGCGGACGCGCCGACGTCGCCCCTCAGTCGCGATCCGGAGGAACCGATGATGCCCACTCAGCTCAAGGCCAAGGTGAACTTCGACGACAACTACGTCACGTTGGTGATCGCCAGCAACATCACGTTCCGGTCGCTGATCGACCGGGTGGATGCCAAGCTGGCCCGCTTCACCCACCGGTCGGTCGGCAACAAATCCGTGCGACTCCGGTACAAGGATGAGGATGGTGACTTTGTAACCATCGACAGCGACGAGGCCGTGCAGCTGGCCTTTATGGAGTGGCGGGAGCAGCACCGGGACATGCTTGCGCGGGGGCAGGTGGGCGAGATCCAACTGTTCTGCCAAGCCGTGGAGAATTAGGCGTGCGTGTCGGGGTGGGTGGAACCCCCCACCTCTTTTCTTCTTTCTTCCTTGTCATTCACCCCCTCCTTCCCACTCCCGATTACGATGCCCCCCCTTCTGATCTACCTTCCCTGTCCTCCCACTCGCTTGTCCGTTGGGAGGAGGGGGGAGGTATCTTATCTCCCCTCATCCCGCCCTTTTACGACGGCATCTCCCCACGACAATCCTCGGCGTCGCCTCCGGGTCGGCCCTCCTTCGCCCACATCCTCCGGGAGTGAAGGGAGCACGTCGGGGACGAACTGATCGAGGAAAGGCGTCCGGGCGGGAACGACCTTTCCATCCTTCTTCCTTTCTAGTGACACTTTTGGACCCGGAGGCGTTTTCTGCGTTTGCCTGGATCGGAACGACCCGTCTTCTGACGAGTGCGATGTGATTGATGACCTCTCCTTGTTTCTTCCTCTCCCGTTGTTCTTCTGTGCTTGGTTGGTTGATTGATTTTCTTTTTTGATTGATTCACGGCCATCGGACCCGTGACTGGAACCTGGCTAGACTGCATGTCACCCCGAGACTCGAGATACGCTGTACAGAGAGTCGATGCGTATCCAGGGCTGGTGTGCCCCTGGCGGGCGGGATTGTCCATGTGGTGTGGGAAGTTGATGACTCCGAGAGTGTCTTGATGATTTACTTAGACTTGCTGAATATCCCGCTATCTATTTTTTTTTATTTCTTTTCTTCTACTTCTCTTTATACCCGCTGGGTTGATTTGACTTGTGTATTGACCTTAATTTTGGGGAATCAACGATCTACCAACCTTCCTGTTGATTGGGAGGATCTAGGATACCATGATTGACCCAATCCAACGGTCAAGCTCTTCTAGAAGAAGGACGGCGTCCCTGTCCCTGGTTGGATCCTGATCGGGAAGAGTGGGTCCTTCTTTTCCTTGGGTGAGAGCTTGGGGAAAGACCTCCGGCATGGAACCGGGACCAGGGGATCCATCTGCGCCATGAGTTAGTTATCTAGTTAGACTGGTCTCGTTTCACAACCATAGAAAATCATCATCCATTAGATCGATATATCCATCTTCAAGACTTCCTCCTGAGTATTGCCGATTATCCGACCTTCCCAGAAAGACAACTAGCCACGAACCACTCATATAAATAGATTGCGTAGGGCGTTTCAGACGACGCTAAGCCTTTGCGTTGGTGAAGTGTTATTTATGAGGGGGAGAGAGAGAGAGACCTAAGTGTCTCCACAGTGTCCACTGTCGATCGAAGATGCGGTCTAGGTGCGGCATTTTTCCTATCTTGGATGGTTCTTTTTGGATTTTTCTGGATTTTTTTTTTTTGCCCCATGATGACGACTTGCCTTGTTTGGGTTATTATGACTATTGGGGATTCTGCTGACGGTCTCCTGGATTTGATCAGTCAGTTAGTTAGTCCTATGAGGCAATTCACGTCGGAGGAGGAGGAGGATCAGGGGGAGGGTTTTACTTTGCGGCATTTACGGCGCTGCATCGTGGTCGTAACGACGAAGGAAAGGAGGGAAAGAGGAGAATAATATGGCTCAGCATCAATCGGTCTATCAGATCTATTAATATCAAAATAGAGGAGGAGGAATTGGAGGTATACAAAAGGCTGGCGAGTCCCTCTTGACTCGCTTATCCTGATTTCTTCTTCCCCTCTTTATCGGACTTGCCCCTCATCTTTTCTTCTCTCTCTCTGTCGGTCTGTCTGTCTGTGTTTGTGTCTACTGCCACTTCCATAGCCATACTGTTTACATTGCTATATAATCCATCGCATCTTTCTATACCATCATGTCTTTCTCCGGACGTCGCGTGAGCATCTTGCGTCCTTCCAATCGTCGCTTCTCGGCGGCAAAGGAATTGTCCGAGAATGGTCTGTCCCTCCTGTTCTTTTCTTCTGATTTTCCCTCCTTGTATTTCTTATCACCTGTCTGACTATTCGACTAACTGAAATCTCAAAGAGCTCCGCTCCGAAACCCACCGTCAATTCCGTTCCGCCCACGAAGGCCACCGCCCCCACGCCGGCCTCGACGCCTCGCGTGCCTCTACCGGCGTCGTCTGGTGTACCGAACGCGCCTCCGAACACGGCTACCTCGAGGACCCCACCGGCTGGGCCAATCTCGGCCAGGGCGCCCCCGAAGCCGACGACGAGATCGAGGGCAGCTTCCCCCGTCCGACCAGTATCCCGATCACTTCGGCCGCGCGCGAGTACGGCCCGACCGCCGGCATCAAGCCGTTGCGCGCGGCGGTCGCCCGTCTTTACAATGAGCACTATCGGCAGGGGAAGACGAGCCAGTATACGTGGGAGAATGTCTGCATTGTGCCTGGTGGGCGGGCGGGGTTGATTCGTATTGCTGCGATCTTGGGCAATTCGTATCTGTCGTTTCCTATTCCTGATTATTCGGCTTATTCGGAGATGTTGAGTTTGTTTAAGAATGTAAGTGTGAACCTGGAGGATCCTTCCATTGAGATTGAGAGGGTGGGAGAACTGACGGTTTAGATCGCTCCTATCCCTATGCCCCTCGCCGAAGAAGACCACTATCATATCCACCCCGACAAGATCGCCGAGGAGATCGCTCGTGGTACCTCTGTCATTCTCACCTCCAACCCCCGTAACCCGACGGGTCACTTCGTCTCCCATGAGGAGCTGGCGCGCATCCAGGATATCTGTCGGGATCGCGCAACGCTGATTTTGGATGAGTTCTACGGCGGATACAACTACACGACGGACTGTGATGGCTCGACGATCAGCGGTGCGGCGAACGTGGAGGATGTCAACAAGGATGGTTTGTCCCCTCTGAGCCCCGATCCCCCCAATTTACAGAATCTGGCCGGCTAACTCTTATAGATGTCCTTCTGATCGACGGTCTCACCAAGCGCTTCCGTCTCCCCGGATGGCGCATCGCGTGGGTGGTCGGTCCCAAGGAGTTCATCGACGCCCTGGGCTCAGCCGGCTCCTACCTCGACGGCGGCGCCAACGCCCCCTTCCAAGAGGCCGCCATCCCCATGATGGAGCCCGATCTGGTGCGATCGGAGATGAAAGCGCTGCAGCAGCACTTCCGCGTGAAGCGCGACTTCGTCCTGAAGCGTCTGCACGAGATCGGCTTCCGCGTCAAGGACGTCCCCGAAGCGACCTTCTACATCTGGCTCGACCTGACCTCGCTGGACCCGCCCCTGCCGCGCGAGGCCAACATCTCCGACGGCCTGAACTTCTTCACGGCCCTCCTGACCGAGAAGGTCATCGTCGTGCCTGGCATCTTCTTCGATCTGAACCCGGCTAAGCGACGTGACCTCTTCGACAGCCCGTGCCACCACTTTGTGCGTCTGAGCTATGGGCCCAAGATGGATGTGCTGAAGCGCGGTCTCAATGGCATTGAGCGGGTGGTGCGCCGCGCGCGGGGGGAGTCGTTTGGGCCGCACTGGGAGGATGAAGTTGCTGTGTCGGATGATTAATTTCTTTTTTCTCCTGTCCTCTTTCTTTTGTCCTTTTTCTTTCTTTTCTTTCTTCAACTTGATACACCACATTTTCAGCGTAGAGCATAGTGTTGATTGCTGGAAATAAATACGTTGATTTTATCGATCAATAGTTATCCACGTAAGCAGCGGAGCTGTCCTAGCTCACAAGCACGTGACCCTGTCAACCATCAACTCCACCCGCTCATCTCCTTTCTCCCCTCTCCTTTCCCTCCCATGCGCCAAACCAGCCAAAACCATGCGCAGCATGAAGCGTCGACGATGTCCTGGAACCTGGAACGCGCGCTGAACTACACCGTCTTCGTCGTCCTGGCCGTGATCCTCTTCTGCCTGGTGCTCCTGACCCCATCAGACGCCATCTACCAGTGCTACGTCACGCAGCGCCTGACAAACATCTTCATCATAACCGGCGGCTACATAGTGACCTTCCTCCTAACGGCGCTCATCTACGCGACCCGCATCTACACAAACCGCAACGTGCTGTCCGGCATCCCGAAGGCATGGATCCCGATTGAAAAAGAGGACGTCGGCAAGAGCGTCCGCCGTCTCGTCGTGGAAGGTCTCGCCCGCAGCGCTATCATCGCGTACCAGGCTCGTCCGCGCGATCCAGCCGCTGACGCCGAAGTGGACGCCTTCGACGACTACCCGATGCTGCAGATCGACGCCGCCCGGCCGCCTTGGGGCGCCGTCGAACACCCGGGCTGGTCGGCGCCTCATTCGCCCGATCTGCCTGATTTACCGTACCGCACTGTCGTGCAGGAACTCCCGCATTTGATCGAGGCGAAGGCCGTCTCGCTCGCCCCGCCTGATCCGTTCTTCCTCGCGACTACCCGCCCCGGTCGTCCGTATCCTCCAGGCCGATCTCTCCACCCGTCTTCTGCCCACGGCAATGACAACGACACAGAACAGTCCATCCCAGATACACGCGTCGTGGACGTCCTCCGCCGACCGGCGGCGATGGGGCTCCGCGAGTACCTCCAGCGCCTGGCGCAGCTGGACGTGCTACACCCTGCGGAAATCGGGGCCGAGTTTCTGGGTCTATACGAGCGGGCGCGGTTCTCGGCGCACGCGCTGCACGAGGCGGAGTTCCGCTCGCTGATGCATGTCTTTGCGGATTTGCTGCGGGGTATGCGGCTCGCGGACCCGGCGGCTGTCGAGGGCGAGATTTACGGAGGTGGTAGTTCGCACGTGGATAGCGAGTCGCTGATTGGTCCGTCTGACGAGGAGGGCGAGACGGATGCGATGGAGTATAGGGGTGGAGGTGAGGCGTCGAGGCCGTCGGATGCGTCGTCGGCGTGGGATGATGGACGCTCGGTTTATGCGACGCCGGTTGAGAGGAGTAGTTCGCGGTGGGGTTCGCGGCAGGGTCAGAATCAATCTCAGGCTCCGGCTCAGGCTCAGGCTCAGGCCCAAAGGCTGCGGCCGCAGAGCTCGACGCAGTCGCTGCGACGGATGCAGTCTGGGTCTAGCTCTGGGAGTGTGATTCATTTAGTGGAGACGCGGGATGCGTCGGAACTGCCTTATGCATATGGGTAGTGAGGTTTATACAGGTAGCATAATATTCATACGGTGATAGCATAATCTTAATATGGGATAGCATAATAGTAATACGGCTGATAGCACAAAGGTAATTATGAGTTGTATTCTAGTTAAGCGTAATAGATATGCGTGTATTTTAAGTTAGCATTCCTTCACAAAAATGCTATGCTATGCTATGCTGATTAGCTCCGGAGCAGGCGGAAGCGTTCCGAGATTGATAAGATGCCTTGGCGTAACTCATCATCGGGTATAACATTACCCAGATTTCCTTCCCCTACACCTACCTCCGCCTCACCTCACCTCACCTATACACATACACAGCTACACAGCATAGACAAAACCACCCACCCCTCCCCTCCCCCGAAAGAATCAACGAAAATGGACCTCCTCCGCCGCGGCGCCTCCCTCCTCACCCCCACCCCAAGCCCAAGTCCCACCCCCGCCAGAAAAGACACCCCCCCAAAAACCTCAGACGACTTCTCCAAAGCCCCCTCGCCAGAAAAACTCTTCCACCAAACAACCGCCAGCTCCGACGGCGAAGAATGCCTCCACGACTGCTCCTCCTGCACAATCAAGTACCCCGCGCGCTTCGACGTCGACCAGGAAGACGAGGTGTACGGGAATGTCGACGGGTGGGCGACGCATGCGCTCGTCGCGACGGGCAAGACGGACTGGGTGAGGGATGTTGCGGATGAGGAGGGGAGTGTGATGGAGGCTGTTGAGAAGGGGGGGTTGGTTCCGGAGAATGGGGTGTGTATTTCCCCTTTTGTTTCCCCCTTCTTTTCCCCCTACATGAGAAGAAAATAACTTCCATGAGGAAGAAAAGAAGAAAAAAAAAAAAAAAAACTAACAAGAGTGATGATCCAGAAACTCAAACTCTCCGCCTCCAACATCCCCGTCCCAGACGAATACCACTCCCACGAAAAAGGCGCCCAGCCCACAACCGTCCTCCTCCTCCCTGCGTTCCAGGTAATCGAGCACGTCACGCCCGTGCTGGCCCCCGCTCTCATCAAACACATTATCAGCAAGGCGCCGACGACAACTACCCCGTTGGTGCAACAGCCCGCGCCTCCTACATCGTTTCCGCCTACAGAAGGACAAGAACTCGAAGGACAACTGCAAACCCACCCCTCCCCCCACGCCGCAATCATCCTCCTCTGCTCGCAGCGCACGCGCGACGCCCGCTGTGGGCAGTCTGCGCCTCTTATCCGCCGCGAGCTGGAGCGGCATTTACGCCCGCTTGGCCTGTACAGAGACATGCACGATGAGCGCCCCGGGGGCGTCGGGATCTACTTCATCAGTCATGTGGGGGGGCATAAGTATTCGGCGAATATGATTGTCTATCGGAGGAGGGATTTCGATTGGTATAAGCGGTCTGATGGGGAGAAGGCTGAGGGGGGGAAGACTGAAGGAGGGGAATACGATGAAGGCGCTGCGCAGGGAATCTGGTTGGCGAGGGTTAGGCCCGAGGATTGTGAGAATATCGTGCGGTATACGGTTTTGCAGGGGAAGGTTGTTAAGGCGGAGAGGCAGCTGAGGGGAGGGTTTGATCGGGAGAGGGGGTTGATCAGTTGGTAATTTTTTACTCTTTTTCTCTTGTTTCTTTTTTCTTCTATATATTTTACATATTGGGTCTGTTGGATTGTGGTGGCTAGATGGATATATTGCTGATAGATGGTTTGATCTACTTGGATTTATCTGCTATCTTTATCTTACTTTCGCTCTTCTACTTCTATCTTCCACTTCTACCTCAATCAACATTACATATACAAATGGTCTCCCCTGTGATATAGACTAAGTGACCTCTGATGTTTGAACGTTGATTCTAGTATTGGTTAGTACAACATCTACTCGATATCAATAATTCAGACAAAGTACCATATCCTCGAGTAGAGTAATTTATATTCAATGAATGGCAAGTCTGAGCGTATCCAACTCCAACCACACCCCATATGTATAGTAGAATTACAACCTCGCCAACCGCCCACCCGACTCCAACACCGCCAAATGCTCCAGCGAGATATCCTTAATAGTCCGACACCTGCACCAGTCAGCTTCAAAAAGAACATAGAATAACACCGGTAGAAAACCCACCCAGTCAACATCATCGTCCTCTTCAACTCCTCGCGAATCAACCGAATCGCCAGATCTACTCCCCTTTCCCCGTCATACTATAGTATCCACATCAGCCTAGACTCCTCCAGCATAAGGACAAAAAAAAGGAAAGAAAATAAAGAAAAGAAAAGAAAGAAAGAGAGAAATACAGCCAACCCCCAAATAGCCACCCTCCCCACAAAACAAAACTCCGCCCCCAACGCCAACGCCTTAAACACGTCCGCCCCGCGCCGAATGCCCCCATCAAACGCAATAGGGATCTTCCCCCGCGCGACAGGCGCACACAAACGCAGGACGTCCAACGCAGCGGGGACACCGTCTAGCTGACGCCCGCCGTGATTGGATATGATGATGCCGTCGAGTTTGTGGTCGATGGCGAGCTGGGTGTCGGCGGGGGTGTATACTGGTTGCTTCTTTCTCAGTATCCGTCTATATTGCGGAGGTATGGTGTGATGTGGCGTCATTATGGGGAGAGATGGGAGGGGCCTGATGATACGTACCACCTTTCAACCAGATCTCCATCTGAGTGTGTTGTCGTAGCCATGGGATCGTCTCGTCCCAGGTGATTGTCGGGTCTGGGGTTACGGCTTTCAAGCCCGGTTCGTGCTCTGACTCCGCTAGGACGGGGAACTCCATGTCCGGTGGGAAGCTGAAGCGGTTGCGGCTGTCGCTGAGCCTGTTGCCGAGGATGGGGAGGTCGACGCTGACGAGGATGGCTTTGTAGCCTGCTCCTATATTTCCATTATTATGAATACTCCCATGCAAACCTTGGAAGGAACAGGAAGAAAAGAAGAAGAAGAAGAAGGATACGCTCAGCCCGCTCAATCACTCCCCGCGTCACCTCCCTATCCCGAAAGAATGACACCTGCATCGCATACGCTTTCCATCCCCGGGCTTGTCCCTGGGCAATGACATCCTCCACGCCCGACGTAGCCCACGACGACAGACACATGGGAATGCCGTTCGAGGCGGCCGCGCGCGAAGTCGCCAGCTCGCCGTCGAAATGGGCCAGTCTGTGTGCGGCAGTTGGGGCGAATCCAAACGGGAGGGCGACGTCTTCGCCAAAGATGCGCGTCGTGGTGTCGATGGGATCGACGTTGCGGAGGATGCGTGGGAGGAGGCGGTAGCGGGTGAAGGCGGATTCGTTGTCGTGGAGGGTTTGGAGGTCGTCGGCGCCGAGGTTGTAGTATTCTTTCCTTGATTCTTAGTATGGGGTAGTATATCGCGTGTGGAGTTGAGGCACCTCGTGTGGTAGGGGAGAATCTCTTCTCTGCTTCATTTTTCAGGTCCGCGATGGTGAAGACGGGGCTGGGGATGGTCATTTTGTTGGGTGAACAATTCGATAGCCAAACTTGAGAGAAGATGTAAATCTGGATATAGATATAGATATGAACAGGTCGATATGATACAATGGCTCAAGATCAGGATCACCTACTATACCCATACCCAAAAGTCCTAAAGATACCCCGCTGATAACAATCCAACCCCTCCTAACAGACACTCCTCACGATCCCCTCAACTCGCCATGGATCGCATTCCGCCCCCGCAACCCCCGGCCACACGTACCCATCAAACTGCTACCACGACTGTTTACGCTTATCCTCACGCCACACGGACAGCCCCGCAATCAATGCCCTCGCCCAGCCCCGTCGCTGCTCCCCGCTGATACAACCGGCTCGTAGTTTCAGCAGAGAATAGATAATAAAAAAAAGACCTGGTATTGCTCGCGGGTTCACGAATCCTGGATGGTGAAAATGCTGGATGGTTGGTTGCGCGACCTGCTAGTAACCCTCGGATTGTTTCGTGCGTCCATCTTTCTGAGCTCTTCCAGGAATACTCGAAATGTGTCGACATGGGCCTGCAAAACATGTCCCAGTATGGTCTGGATGACTCGAAGTATGCTATGCTTGAATTATGACCCGTGTTCGACAGGAACCGCATTCGCATTCAGTGATAACAGCTGAAAGATTACTCGCCTAAGACATCAAGCGACTTCCACGAACCGATACTCGTTCCGCAGGTGACTCAAATGCAACGAGTGGGATACCGTCTCTGCTGAAACAGGCTGTCCCCAGTAGGGCCCCGCGTAGATCGACATACCAGAGACAATATCTCTAGCAGGATTTCCCGTCCGAGCTGGTAATGAGCGCGACCTGCACAGCCGCGAATCTAGAATCCGAAAGTCAGCATCCACAAGGAGCAACGAGCGGTAGCGAGAGACACTCACGCTGTAGAGGCAGCAAACATCTCAGAGCGCCTAGCCTTCACCATGAAGCCGAGGACCATGGCAAACGTGATATTGTATATAAATATGATCGCAAGTCGCAAGGGAACACTCTTCACAAAGAACAGGACAATGATAGACGATGCAGGCAGGAGCCCCGAGATGAAAATGCTGAGTGCATTGGTGAAAGACTTGATGGATTCATCGCGGTAGAGGTAAGCTCCTATCTCTGGATCGGGGGTTTTCTGGAGTTGAGTCAGCTTTTTGAAGGATGGTCTATGAAGTTGTATAGCGTTTCTGGGAGTACCTTGAACCGGTATCCCCAGCGCTCGTGAAACCAGGGTAATGCTTTACGGTAGATCCAGCGCGTAAAGTGATCTGTTCCGTCTTGTCTTGCGAGAATGGCAACGAGGTCGTCTTGATCGTCCCATTGGTGTCTCGTACTTGGTCCGCCTTCCAGGCACCTGAGCCACTCGCGAAAACCCGCGAGTTCTGCTTCGTCGGGGCTGCGAAGTCGCATCAACTGGGATTGCTGAATCAGGGCTTCGTCTTGCTTGGGTGTTAGTTTTGAAGGCGGGAAGAGAAGCGGAAAGGGAAGCCGGGAAGAAGGAGCAAGAAAGAGCTGAGAAACATACTGTATTCTTTGAGCAGCTTGCGAATCTCCAGAAACTTCTCCCATTGCATGGAAGCATTCTCTGAATTCCCCAAGGAGCCCTTGAGATGCCCGATAGAAAACGGATAGTGTTTCTCGTTTCCGCCATCACGAGAGGCGCTGTCCCTATCGAGACTGATGATCTCTTCGAGGTCTGCTGCGAGGTCTCCCAGTTCCGCTTGGTAATAGAGTATATTTTTGGCGTTCAGTCTCGCGAACCGACGGAAAAACATCGACGGTGGGTCTGAGGCCAGAAAGGCCGCAATTCTGTCGTAGCCTGCTGCCATGTCCAATGTATGATAGAACGGATTGTAGATGATCGACCAGAGGGGGCAGCAGCGTCTACCGGAAAATGCTGCAGTCAAGCCGCGGGTTATATGCTGGGTACCGGTAGACAGCTATGTACTCGAGCCTCAGCCTATGCGAGCAGAATAAGACCGACTGGAGGAGGCGCAAGTGTCCAGTGTGTTTTTCTCTGTGGCTATGTAGTTATCGTGTTGAGATTTAAAGTTTTGTGCCGCAGACATTGTTGGTTTGATGTCGCGCTTTGCATGGTAAGCACATACAAGCGCGGTCGTTGGGCAGCAGACCGGTCCCGGTGATATTAGCAGTCTCTGACTTCTGTCCTTACCCCGTGTCTGGCTCTGGTGTACGCCGGGCAATCATCTTTATGTACTTACTCGAAGCATTAGGGAGTGTACCATCATACATGCCAATGGCAGCTGGTTATTCCGGTACTGATATCCAGCAGTTTCTGCCCCGTTCGACCAAGGGAAGCCCGTTCGATCAAGTGAGGCAATGTCCAAATGCCACTGATAGCCTTACATATTCACAGTCAGCATAATAACCCAGGACGGAAAGGCGACCTCGATATACGTGGACCATCATTTCGCCTGCGGACGCATGTCATGATGTGGTCGAATGATATGCAGCCTCCGTCGCCCTCTCTCTGTCCTATTACGTCACCAATCATTTGGGCAGCAAGTGAATGGTGTTTTTCAGCCTTGAAGGCGCGGCAAATCAGAGCCCGAGTAAAGTAGAGGGTTTTTTGGTAGTTATGTATTATGTACCATCTTATCGAGCATGTTGGATGGTGATTAGACACAACCTTAGAGTGAGATAGACAAGGAACCGGATGCCGTATTAGAACCGACTGTATGAAGCAGACCGCACTCGAGTTTGCTTGACACACATACTAAGTTCCGTTTTACGAAGCTTAAGAAGTGCAATGATGTATCTATTGTAGACCCCGTTGCCCGACATGCGATTCGATTCGGTTCGCATATTGGGACCCTTGAGAACTTAGGTCTATCACCAAATGGCAAATGAACGCCGCGCATCCCGCGTCCGCACAGCCCTCCACGGTTTCTTAGGCGATAATGAATGGCAATGGCTGAGCCAGTTCACCACGAACAGAAGATTTCCACCACGTCCAGCATATGGCTGAAGTCGTAGCGCCCCCCCTTTAACGGGCTCTTTTCGGACCGTATTGCCCACCGTCCATGAACACCGGTTCACTGATCCTTGAAACCCACTCCAGCATATCCAGATTATCTCGTTAAGCGGACCTGTCATGGCTAACCCGAAATTTTTCAAATGAACGTATTGTGTTGATATGGGCGATTTGTCGTGTAGTTTTGTTTACCCTCTAAGGAGAACGAGAAGGCACAAGAAGAAGAATAAGAATGTTGCGTCCAAAACTCCGAGATGCACGCATCCTTCCTCATAAAACAGACGCATCGCGAGGACTGTTGGAGGAAACTACGTTCCCTCGTACCGCAAGTAGATTCGTTGAAGGAATGGCGGAGACTCGTATCAGACGATGTCTCAATATGCCGGGAAAAAAAATATAAAAAAATAAATAAAAAAAAAACTCCTTTCCATATTCACGCCTTATACCGTTTTGCCAATCCATGGCAAACGAGACTCGACGTGGTTATGCATAGATTTCAAGTTCCTTGATGGTTTGTCTCCCGATCATAACATCGAAGTCGCATCCGCTGACGATTAGGAAAGACGTGAGGTAGCTGTGAGTATTACCCCAGACACACCACCGACAGTTCACTTTGCCGATTGGCTTGAGATGTGCTCGACCAGGCAGACTGAGCGGCACGGTCATGTCGCAAGGTTCCTTTTCCAACTTCAGAGACCTGAACACCTCATCATCCATGATATTGACATCGGCATCGAACTCGAGGACCAGGAAACGTCGTATCTGACTGTAGTCGGCCTTCCATATGAGAATATCCAAGACACTATCAGCAGTCTGGGTTACCGGTAGAATCCTTTGCGCTGGTTTGACGTTGCGCGGTGCAATAGCGGGCTTGTTCAAAGGTGCGCCTCGTCTCACCACCCGATCCACCGGGAGTCTCAACTCCCCTCCCCCAGCCAGATACGAAAATTGGCACCCCGAAACCCGGAAGTCGCTTCTCGAAGGCTCATCGCCACGTTCACGTTGACATGGCGAGGGCGACGAAAACCGCCGGATGCACCAACGGCAAAAATACCACCATTTCGAGTGCTCCGCGGTGGGCTCTAGTGGGGCATTCATCCCCGCTTTTTCGCCTCGATTGCGGGTGTCACTCGGGTCGTCTTGAACACCGTTCCAGTACTGTTTTGGGTTTGCCTTCGTTTTGGTGCCATGATGGTTGGGGGTTCCCTTCTGTCTGCGGGACCCGCAAATGCTTGATACTGCCAAAATTCATTAGCTTTTTTGGTTTTCCCCCCGAGTGCAAGATCATTTTATCCGGGCATAGACGCATCCTTTGCCCTTTCTTTGAAATAGATGCTGGGTAAGGGGGCGCTTACTCGATCGAGCCATCGGTGCTGTCACAGGGCATATATATCCTTCTTGTGCAGTTTGTGTAAAAGCGCCCCTGTTCTCGCCCTTTAAGCAAAAGATTGAGAGCCGCAAAAGATCTGAGGTGACAGCTCTGTATCACCTGAAGAGGACATGTGGGCGAATTGGATTTCTTCATCCCTGTTTGACTTGATATTGCCAAGCATATTTAGGTGGGGTTCCTCGGGCTACCTAAGTCAGTAAATTAATCCTGCTCACCGAGTGACGTGACTGTCGCATACCTACACCTACTGAGATACCAGGTCAGACAACAATGTTTACTTGAATAGGCAAGGTACGACCGCCGAGTCTCCATGAGGTCAAGTTTATTGGCCAGTGTCCCTAGCGTCGGGGGCGGTGTGCAGCCTGGTGGGCTGAGCTGAGGTCAAAACGCGGCCTTGAAACATGGGGACGAACACCTAGACAAAGATACAAGTAAATTCAGATGAGCTGGTTGGTTTTCTCGCATGACTGACCAACTATAATTATCTCACTAATCTTTGGCTCTCATACCAGCTGCTATGTTTATTGATTTATTGAAAGTTCGCGAATTCGATAAATCACGCTCTACACCAAGCTACATTGCCACGCTGTAGACGACATCAATCCCGATCGAAGATGGGTGGCTGGACTGGAATCTGACTGGTTCAATGCAGGCATCCTTGATCGAAAGTTCAATAAGAGGCGAACCGGGTGCCCAGTCCTCCATTGTCATGGGTTTCCCGTCCGATTGTCGTTGGCCACAAGGATCTCCCAACAAATAAGATAGGTCGCTATCTGTTGTCTTGCCGCCAGACTGAGTTGTGCGACGTATTATGCCCGTGGGGCATTGCGTCGCTGATGGTATTGTTCTCTGACAAGCGCTTTTCTTTCCTCCCTAATTTCGACCTCTTGTTGCCTTTGCCGCTCCTCATTTCTCTCCCTTCTCTCAATCTCCTCTATCCCAATAAATCCAAACTAGTGTCAGAAGACCTTCCTACTTCACGAGATTTCTCAGGTAGATTGCCCACCACTTTGGCTAAAACGTACCTCGTGTCGGTCTCGGGTAAACCATTGGCAGCCCGGGATAGCCTTGCTGATGAAAGTCGCGGTGAATGGACGAGCCCCTGCCCACCACAATCCCACACCCACGAGGTAGCCCCGCAGGAGCCGTGTCGCTGGCGGTGAATCTCTCCGCACAGATCCGGCTGCCCTTGAGGATTTGAACTTGCAGTTCGACCGATGCGTCTGCGTCTCCCGAGGAGGACACGAGCCATCTGTCCAGGTCTTGAAGCCCTTCGACCGCTGCACGGGTGATGAGGTTTGTGCCCCGCGTGTCGTCGATGACCGCGTCGAGCATGTGCGACGTGACAGACTCATTCCCGTACGGGTATACGACGATTTGACATTGCGGAAGTGGCATCTGCCGGTGTCAATGCCATCTCCATTTCCATTTGAGCTTGGGTTTGTTTGGGTTTTTTTTTTTTTTTTTTT